CTGATTATTTAAAGGTGACTATATGTGACGTGTAATTAAACAAACAGCCCAATGAGAGTCTATGAATTGATTTATTTTAATGGAGAGTCACATAAAGAAAAAAGGAGAATGTGTCGTAGTCGGTGTAGAAGTTTGAGCGGCTGGTCCGTGAAGCTGCAGCTAACAGTAATGTTTATTGTTCTAATGGTTTGATTGTCTTATTTATATTGTTGTTTTGTCTATAGAATGGCTGTAATGTTATTTATGATGTGATTTGTTTTCATTTGTTTACATATTATGATTTAAACGCAACAAGAATGATACAAAATATGACTTTACGCATACTTAATGAGCTGTTTGGGCAGAAAATGGTCAAAAATGTCGATCAGTGTTTGTTAAAATGTCGGATACTGGACCCAGTAATCAGTCAACGCCTGTATTTCTATTCTGTACAGTTACTACAAAGGAATTTTTGGGTTATATTCCAGGAAAAAGTATTTGTTTCGAGTCATATTCTACCACGTCTAAACCACACGTTTTCAAAATTATTCTCAACTGCCTCCCTTTTTCTACAGCAAACGCAACAATCGACTTTATTTTTGCAAAAGTGTCTGTAAACACCACCTTCAGTCCAGTCACTGATTGGCTGTAATGTTACCTATGGAGTTATTTTACCTCATTTATTTACATATCATGAATAAAATCCAACAACAATCATACAAAATATGACTTTATCCAACTACAATACATTACTAATTAGATGTGTGGGTGACAAAATGGCAGAAAATGGTTAAAAATGTCGATCAAATGTTGGATGTTGGACCCAATAATCAGTCAGTCCAATAGTCAATCAAACCCTGACTAAAATATTTTTAATTTCTCTTCCATACAGTTATTACAAAGGGATGTTTGGGTTATATTTCAGGAAGATTCGACCACTTTTAAACCAGCTACCAACCTGAACTGATGAACTCAAGTTATTCTCAGCGACCACTAACTTTTGTTGGCAACTGTTGCTGCAACTGTTGTCTTAAGTCAGTTCAAGTGACAGATTGGTGCAACAGGTTAACCTCACAAGTGTAAATGTTATACATGGTGTGAATTTAGCTGAATAGTTTACATAGAAGAGATTAAAACCCAACAAGAATGACTTAAAACGTGACTTTATGTGACTAGAACACACATTTAAGCTGAGTTATGTATAGTTATGGAGGATAATCTAACTAATACAGTGACCTAGCTACGGCTCGGACTCTCTGGAGGTCAACCTGATGAACTTAAAGTTTTAACCCTGCAAAAATACACATGCAAATCCAAGGACTTCCTGGATCCTTGAAGCCTTAATAATAAAGATAATGTCAGAAAACCATCGTCTCACAGGAGCAGCAGCAACATGTTTCCTCATCTCCAGACATCAGGTGAGGATAAAACGAGGCTCTGAGCTGCTGACTGCGAGTTGTGAAGGAATCAGACTGAGGTTGTGGAGAGCAGAACAAACGCTTTATGTAACAGGAGGATGAGCCCCGCTGAGCCTCCCTCCTCACATTATCGCTTCGTCTTTAGGTCGGTGGGAAAGTGGACCACCTGCCGAGTTCACCGCCTACGAGGGTTAACGAGCACAAACACTGGTGCAAAAATAACTGAGCTGTTACGTAACAGTCGTGTGAAAGACGCAGCAGAAATCACTGGAGACCGAACAGCAGAGAAGATGTGACTGAACAGGAACGTTCAGGTGATGTTCACCCAACGGGGATTCATTTAAACTGCTGCTTTAATGGCTGTTGAGGTCAGCAAATGATCTGCATCTCCTCCATGTTGCATGTGAAGTAATGCAGCTCAAGACAGCAGCAGCAGCAGCAGCAGGGAGGAAGTAACAAGAAGCATCAGCCTTCAAAATAAAAGCCTCAGAGTGGGCCTTTGGGAGGCGACTACACTTCACATGATCGATCTGCAAACAGCTCAGCTAGAGACTGTGACCTTATGTGACAGAAAAATATGAATGTTTCTGATAATCTGATTTAAAAAAAATAATATTAAGCTTGAATAAATTAAACCCCGATTTTAAAAGTGATTTATTCTTGATTCTTGTCATTTTGACGCTGGTGATTTTACTCTAAAGCTGTCTCAAACCTCTTTATTACGGCGTGTCAGTGCTTTAGTTTTGCAATCAGGGTGAAAAGAAAATAGCTTTTAATATTAATAACCTGTATTACTTTGCCTCAAGTTACTTTACAAGACACAAATTTCTGTATTTTGTATTTTTTTCAGATATTAGATCAACAAAAATGTATATTATGTTGATTAAATGAAACCTCAACTAACAAAGTTGATTTATTCTCAGCACTGGTGATTTTATTTAAACACTGGATAAATCTTCCTGTTAGCCACATATACTTCTGTGCAGGAAAACCACTAAATTCCTGCTTTTAATTTTGCAATCAGGGTAAAAAGAAAATAGATTTGACACCTTTACACCGACTCTTTCCTTTTTGTTTCTTTATGACAGAAATCAATGCTTTTTCCTGTTTTTTCCAATAACTTGATCAACAAAAATGACTATTATGTCGAGTAAATGGTTGAAAAAACTAATTTTATTCTCAGATTTGATCATTTTAGCGCTGCTTCTTGTCTTCTGGTGCAGTTTAAAACCACAAACTCAGCAGCCTGTTGCATGTACAATTCTTTGAAAATACTAAATGACGTTATTTGATTACACACAAACGTAAGCTACACGTCACTTCATTAAAAGTCGTACATGCAGCACCAAACCATGCTGCAGTTTGACACAGTAGAGGTCAGGACTTTCCAGTTTGCAGGACAGGAATCCCACCGTTCCCTCATGAGCAGCTCTTGGCAGCAGTTTGGAGGAAAACCTCCCGTTAACAGGAACCGACCCAGACTCAGGCTGAGCAGCCATCTGCCTCCACGATCGACAGCAGAGTGGATGTCGTCGACCATGTTTTAAACGAGAAAAGTAGAATTTCTAACAGGTTGAATGCATCTTATTGTGAAAAGTCTAAATTTGACTCTTTAAAGAGGAGCGGTGATGCCAGTAAAATGTGAAAATGATCAAACATTGATGGAAAGGTTGCCAAAATAAATTAAAAAAAGATATTATTCAGACAACATTTTACCAGAACTTCATTTAATTCATGGTTACAGGATAAAAATTTAGATTTAGTTTGTGAATATGATGTTTTGATGAGTGTTTTCGACTTTATTTTTTTTGTTTTTTCCCCCTTTTTATTTTGTGTGTATTTTATTTTTAATTTTTTTTGTTTTTTTTTTTTTTAATATATTTTTCGTGTTGTTCTATTTTTTTTATCTTGTTTTTTTTGTTGTGAGTTCACACTTTCAAACTTAACTTTAAAATTTGCATTTATGCTAATTATTATTAAGTAGTTTGTCATTTAAAATACCTCTGATTGTAGGAAAGACTCATTCTTTTAACTCTGTCTTGATGTTTGAACGTAGTTTCATCAGTTCCTCAAGTTGTCAAAACTCAAAAAGATCGATGCAAACTGTTGTTGTCGAGTCTAAACATTTGTATCTAGAAAAATGATTCTGTTTTAGAATAATTGTCTAATTCTATTCCCCACTTAACCTTTATTTAATTTTCATTTACTTATTTTCTATTTTATTGTATAGTTCATCTCTTACATGCGTTTATTTTTCTCTTCTCGTCTTTTTAGACTGTTTTAGTCGATCAGTTTGAATTATTCTGTAAATCTGTGTGCATTTGATTCAACTTGTTTGTACAGTTTTCGATTTAATAAATGTCATTTGTACATGTTTAATTTTCTGGGTTTGCCTGTAAAACTCTCTGAATAACCTCTGAGTGTGACATAAACAAACGTCTTTGGTTGTCGGTTTGGACACGTGATACTTAAACATCAGATTCTAAGATGTTTGTGCTCCGTGACTCGTTCAGTATTTGATCAACTCATTGCAGATGACAACATAATCATTATTAGAACTTCTGGCTTGTTCCACCTCCCAATAAATCAAATACGATCAAGTACATCTGACCAACCAGGAAGTATTTTATAGCAGCTCAAAGATTTTAGTGCGTATCATTTAGGTTCAGCGGTGGATTTAGTGATTTTATTGCACAAACTCTTAAATATTGTAGGAATCAAACCTACTCTGAATAAACAAGTGACACAAAAAATGCAGCACTGAACCACAAACTGTAGCCAAAACAAGAAACAAAAGGCCGGCTGGATGCAGCTGACATGAGAATGTTACAGGCTTATGCATTTTAAACTGCAATTATCTTACGAGCTTTAGCAACAATAAAAAAAAGCCCAACATCATCACTGTGACAGATTTTTAAGCGACTCAGGGTCACATAAATAATAATATTATACTGTATATGTGCTTCTATGTGGTCTGCATTTCAAATTTAAAGAGTGAAAGCCCGAAAAAATACTATTGCTGGGGAAATAAATCAATAAAGAGACACTGCACCACCCAAATGTGAGTGAGTGTCTCTGCTAGGCCAGCTGAAGCCATGCTTTTATTTTGTAAAGCGCTGACGGAAGCTGCTGGTCTCCTCCTGTCCAGCTTGACGCTGCTCGTTTCATGTGATATTTCCAGTAATTTGGGATCAATACGTTGATCAGCAGGGCTGCAGGCCGCTGCTGATAAAACAATACAGCAGCTCAGTCCGTCCTGAACCCACACACGTCGCTTCCTTCAGCACACGGAGCGTTCTAACGCACAGTTTGCGGCCTTTAACCCGCAGATGAAGCACGAAGCAGCGGCGGTGTCGAAGCTGCCTTTGTGCCACTGCGATAAAAACACAAGCAGCATCACCATCCTCCACCCAGCGAGCAGCGTCCCCACATCCAACAAACAGACCAAATATCACCTAAAATCACAACATACATCCGTGTCTCCGCCGTTAGAACCGAGCCTGGCATCGTCTTCCAGCTCCGCCGCGGTGCTGCTGCCGCGCGGAGCCGCGTTTCTCCACAAACACACCAAAACCCTGTTTTCACGCGCGCGCCTTGTCTCACCTTGTCTCGGCAGGTCGTCGTCTTCAGGTGTCCGTGAGGATCCGTGTGTGTGTGTCCGTGTTCCGAGCGGGCCGCTGGGCTGCTAGTGTCCGCCGTGCGCCGCTACTGTTGTCTGAGGGAGACTGCGGGGCAGACAGCGGCGGCGCATCCAGGATGGGCAGGGCGGCGGCGGCACGTCAGCCTGAGGTCACCGCCCGGTCCCGGTCCACAGGATTATACAAGCAGGCAGCAGCAGGGACAGCTGGT